ATAGTTTAATAACCGTAATATTACTATCGGTTCTCGAAACGTGTTCAGTGCTGTATTTAACCACGGCTTGGCCATTTATCGGGCCAAGGTGCATCTTTGGGAACACATTGCCTCTTATGTCACCGTGACCTTTGTTTCGCATGGCCGCTTTCAAATCCTTACCCCTACCCCCTTTATTTATTCCTACTACCCCCTCCTGTCTTTCCCTTTCAACGCCACATGAGACGTAACTTGTTTACACACCCCACGGGGAACTTAATGCTCTTTATTCACGTTCACTTTTAATTATTATTTTAAAAAAAAAAAAAAATAAAAAAAAAAAAAAAAAAAAAAAAAAAAAAAAATACTGCTTTTAATTTAACGCTACGTGTGTCTCCATTCATGAAATGTGTGTCAGGACACCCTAGACACCCTGGACACCCTAGACACCCTGGACACCCTGGACACCCTGGACACCCTGGACACCCTAGACACCCTAGACACCCTGGACACCCTAGACACCCTAGACACCCTAGACACCCTAGACACCCTGGACACCCTAGACACCCTGGACACCCTGGACACCCTGGACACCCTGGACACCCTGGATACCCTAGACACCCTAGACACCCTAGACCAGTGGTTGGGCAAACTTTAAAAAAAATTTTTTTGGTGGAGGGCGCCTAGCCCCCTTCCAAAATCGCTCCCCACTTTCTCCTCCATTTGTACCCTCAGACCCCCCTCCAATAAAAGTGACAGTCCCGACACTTCTTTTTATTTGAAACGCTGAATACGATCAGTGGCGTAGCTAAGGGGTGCGGGGGTGAGAGGTGTGGACAGCACTGGTTGACACAATTTCAGGGGTTGACACCAAGTTAAAAAATTGTATATTTTAAAATACATAGCACACCGTGCTCTGTCTAAACGAATTTCATTTTTTTAAAAACGATGACCGATCACACGTAAATATCCCATACGGGTAACCAATCCAAGTGGGGGCTGGGCAGAATAAGTCATAGTAAATAATATCTGAACTCACTACTCGTAAGAGCTGCTCAAGCTCAATACGAGATTACGATTGCAATAAACAACAACAAAAAATACACTTTTAAAAAAATATATATATTTCTTAAATGTGTATAAAAAGTGAATGGGGTGAAAGTCTGTGAAGTTGTGTACCCTGAAACTAACCTTCTGTACTGCTATCTTTGATTGGTTGTTTGTTTTTCCTTTAAATAAACTGAGACCCACTTCCAGTTGCAGTGATAAAATAAAGAATTCAAATGAAAAATAACACTCAATGAAATAAGTTAGTGCGAGCCATCAATGAAATAACCCAGTGCGAGACATCAATGAAATAACTCAGTGCGAGACATAAATGAAGTAACCCAGTGTAAGACATCAATGAAATAACCCAGTGCGAGACATAAATGAAGTAACCCAGTGTAAGACATCAATGAAATAACCCAGTGCGAGACATAAATGAAGTAACCCAGTGTAAGACATCAATGAAATAACCCAGTGCGAGACATAAATGAAGTAACCCAGTGTAAGACATCAATGAAATAACCCAGTACGAGACATAAATGAAGTAGCCCAGTGCGCGACATCAATGAAGTAACCCAGTGTGATACATCAATGAAATAGCCCAGTGCGAGACATCAAGGAAATAACCCAGTGCGAGATAACAATAAAATAACCCAGTGCGAGACAACAATAAAATAACCCAATGCGTGACATCAATGAAATAGCCCAGTACGAGACATCAATGAAGTAACCCAGTGCGAGACATCAATAAAATAACCCAGTGCGAGACATCAATAAAATAACCCAGTGCGCGACATCAATGAAGTAACCCAGTGCGAGACATCAATAAAATAACCCAGTGCGAGACATCAATGAAATAAGCCGTTTAGAGACATCAATGAAATAAGCTAGTGCGAGACATCGGTGAAATAACCAATTGTCTGACATTGACAAAAATGACCAAGGAGCACACGTGTGTATTTATACCCATTGCCATCTAAAATAATATTTTTGAATTCAGGTACACTCGGCGGGGCGCACTTCATAAGCATATTGACGCACTGGCCATGGCGTCCAATGTTTCCCGTATTTAAATATTGGTACTTCATGAATCTCCTGTATGCACACAGACCTGATACATTCATCAAAACGCGAAAGTGTATTTAAAAAAAACGCGAAAATTTCAAAAGTTAAATAATAGACGCTAACCCCTTTATTGACAAGAGATACACCCCCCCCCCCCGCAGGGACATCATTTGGGTGGGGCAGGATGGGGTTATTTACCCCCCCCCATTTTCCCCCCCCCCCTGAAATTTGCAGGTTTTATTTAAATTGATTTGTACTGTGGCGCCCCCAGTAATAAACAACTTAACAAGCCGACCAAGTTATGGTTTCGCCCCCCCCCGTCCCCGTCGCCTTGAAAAAAACTGGAATGACGCCCCTGCCCCCAATTGGCACTAACATATAAAAAATCCCAGAGTCAGTTTTTCACTGCATGGCCAAGACATGGTGTGTAGCTTATCATTACAGTGTACTGTAGCAGTATAAGCACAAGAAGGTGGAATGTAGTACGCATAGGGAGGTCTTAAAATGGAGGTTTTATCATCAACTCTAAGTGACGTTTGAGCCTCTCACCACGCCTGAGTGACACTTGACCCTTTCAAAACACCTAGGTGACACTTGACCCTTTCAAAACACCTAGGCGACACTTGACCTTTTCATAACACCAAGGTGACAATTGACCCTTTCACAACATCTAGGTGACACTTGACCCTTTCAAAACAGCTAAGTGACACTTGACCCTTTGACAACACCTAGGTGACACTTGACCCTTTCACAACACCTAGGTGACACTTGACCCTCTCAATCCACCTAACTGACCCTTACCACTAATCCTCAAACTCATCTAATTAAAATCAACTTCCTTCGCCTCTGGAATTTATAAATGCTCTGAATGTCACCTAATACTAACACCAATGTAAAATGCGAGACAACGCCCTTCCTAGATAGGGCTGTATGTTTCGATCGTGTTGCAGGAATGGAACAAGAAAAAGGTTCAAGTTTCATGTGCAGTCAAGATAAATGGTATTAATAGAGTAGGAATACGATATTTTGAGAATTAGGAGAGAGTGAAGTGAGTAAAAATAATAACATCGCTGCTTGAGCGGATTTGCAAAATCTGTAACATCTATTTTGCATCACAAGTCATTTTGAAATAGAAGTTCAACAGCACAGACAATGAATAAGAAAATACCACCTGTTCCTCAACAAGAAAGGATTACGTCCCGGGTGGCACTGCAGAGTGGGTTATATTTTAAAGTGAAAGTTCGTGGGGGTGGAGGGGGGTCACTAACCCCTAGCTACACCACTTTTCAGATGCAGAAAAATCCTCCAACGTTGTTAGTTTAAGAAGTTGGCGGAGTCTTCTTTTCAAAGAATGGGACGTTGAAACAGAACAATTTGAAACAGAAACATGTGAATCAGAAACAAGTTAATCAGAAACTTGTGAATCAGAAACATATGGAGCAGAAACATATGAACGAGAAAAATATGAAACAGAAACATGTGAATCAGAAACATATAGAACAGAAACATGTGAATCAGAAATATATAGAACAGAAACATGTGAATTAAAAACATGTGAATCAGAAACATGTGAATCAGAATCATATGGAACAGAAACATGTGAAACAGAAACATGTGAAATATGAACATATGAAACAGAAACGTGTGAAAACAAATCCCCCACCCACCACCCCCCCCCCCCCCCCCCCCCCAAAAATAAGACTCTGATAGGATCGCTTTTGATTTTTTGTTCCCTGCCACTTGGCCACTCCAGGCCACCGTTTCTTCCAGGCCGACTGCTTTTCATGATTCCAGTACTGCCATTTCAACGCCGTCTTCGTTCCGCATGAGTTGTTCCGCTTAATTCTACATGTACTCCAGATTTCAGGTCATGTTTGAAATGAACTCTCTAACACATATGTCCCGAATCTGTTTTTTGTCCCCTCAATGTCCTTAAAGTATGTCATGTCTCTTTAGGAATCATTCGTAGCTTTCCGTGACACCTGAGGATTTTTGACTCCCTCTCTGTGTGTCAGTTGCATCTTGGTCATTCGTGCTGAAAAGAGTTGGTTTTTGTTTTTGTTTTTTAAAATTATATTCAATTATTTCTAAGTTTTTTCTATTTTTAAGTTATCCTGTTTTAAGTGCGCCCAGCCTAGATTGTCCTAGAAATAAGCCAAATTTAAGTAGGTGTTGTCGAAGCCAGTTACTGGACAGCTTTTCACAGGTTCAAAACCAGACCTGCCAGAGGTCACGGATTGTAGCTCAAAGATAACCTTTCTACGTGAGCAGTTGTTTATTTGACGTCATGACACTATTTTTAGACCCCGAAAACATTTTTATTGTGTGCGTGTCAGTGTCGTAGCTGGGATTAGTGCTGCCCCGGGTGGGGGGGGNCTTCCACATAATGAAAAATAAGCGCCCTCCTTGCCAGAGTCTCTCCCCCCCCCACCACCACTTGCGCACCCTTCTTCCTACGCCACTGGCATATGTGCATGTCTGTGCTAGTGTTTGAGTCGTGTCTGCTTTATATTTTATTTTTGATTTGTGTTCGAATGTCTGTGATCGATTTTTAAATTGTGCATAAGTGACAATCATCAATAAAACTTTAGTTGAAACTTAATCATTTTTCTAGCATTGACTTTAATTTCAAATGAAAACTTTTTTCAGTAAAATAGTTGTTATGTAGGAAGCCCCCCCCCCCCCTTTATTAAGCCTTTTTGAGAGTTACTGATTTCAAAGATTAAAAAAAAATTATATTTCCATTTTTTTTTTCAATCTTAACAATTCATGTACCTAAATTTAATATCGCACAGGATTGTAATACATAATTTTTTTTAAAAAATCACATGACCAAGACAAGTTCTACCAGAAGATTGCGCTGGGTGGGGAAAAAAAAAAGGGGGGGGGGTATATCACACTGCAATGAGGAGGGTGAGGCAAGGGATGGGCTCCACATGAACCTGGGATCCTCCATAAAAGGTGCCTATTCAATACCGAATGGTGTCATCGCGTGCTGGGGATTGCTACGAGAGGACAGTAAGTTTGCAGACAGTCAACATCACATGATATTTAATTTGTATGACGTTGGTTTGTGAATCGAATCGTTTCCTTGTGGATATTTGCCACGAATTTTCTCTGAAATAAACTCAACATGTGGTACTGGGTATGTTCATATTTTATATCATTACTATTCATTTGTTACAACAATTTTTGTGCGCAAGCGTGCAAATATTTACTATGAGCAATTGTTGTGTGCGACTTACCTCTTATGAAGTCTTAAGTAAAATACATTAAGTTTATTTTTTTTCAAAATACAGTGTGTAGTTTTGGGTCGAGGGCTGTGACTTGTTTCAAAGATGAACCCCTAATCTGGGCAGAGGGGGGGGAGGGGGTTCAATTCTTTGTTACGCAAAATCTAGAGGCGTTATCTCATCGTAACATAAATTTTCTGATTTGAGTGTCTGACTGCAAGCACTTATCCCTTTGCTGTAACACAAGCTAACTAGGAGACAACAACAGATAGAGGCCCTACATGAAGCTAACTTAGAAACAAAGATAGTTGTGCAAGTAGCTAAATTAGAATCAAAAATAGTTGTACAAGTAGCTAACTCAGAAACGATAGTTCTAAAACTAACTAACCCAGACACAGCAATAGTTGTGTAAAAAGCGCTAACTTATTTAAACCTGTGCTATTCGCCTGTCTCATAATATATGGTGGCGATATCAAAGGGGGACCCTTAAATAATTACGGTTATTGGAGTAATGAAAACAGTTTAATCAAAAGAATGTGTCCATCAAACAGGTGTACCTGGTGGCTGTGTTAGCGCTGGTGTCCGAGTCTATGGCCGGCTACTACAGCAGCCGCGAGAGATTCGACAACTACTTCAGGGACAGGGGCGGAAACAAAGGGAGAGGCGGTTACAACGGACGGTACGGTTCCAACCGCCGAGGGGGCTACGATCGGGACGGCTACGACACGAAGAATAATGACAATGATCACGGCGACAACAATCAGGGCGGTAAGAGCGGCGGCAGCGCCCAGGCCAACGTGGCCGACCTGCTGACCAAGATGGACAAACTGCAAAACACCGTCCGGGGCCTGCTCAAGCAAACGGCCGCGCTTCACGATGTGGTGGAGGAAAGGTGAGAAGACTGATGGCTGAGTTAACGGTGGTGTCACGATGGGCGAGCCGACCGGTTTGTTGTCGTGATAGGCGAGCCGACCGGTTTGTTGTCATGATAGGCGAGCCGACCGGTTTGTTGTCATGATAGGTGAACCGACCGGTTTGTTGTCAAGTTAGGTGAGTTGACCGGTTTGTTGTCATGATAGGCGAGCCGACCGGTTTGTTGTCATGATAGGCGAGCCGACCGGTTTGTTGTCAGGATAGGCGAGACGACCGGTTTGTTGTCATGATAGGCGAGCCGAAAGGTTTGTTGTCATGATAGGCGAGCCGACCGGTTTGTTGTCATGATAGGCGAGCCGACCGGTTTGGTGTCAGGATAGGCGAGCCGACCGACAATGAGTCAACCTCGTTATTTAAGGGGGATGATTATTGATAAAATAGTAAATTGTATATACGCTTGTGGTTAAAACAATGTTGCAGTGGCGTAGGGTGGGGGTATGGAAAGGGGGGCGGTCAACTCCAGGGTGGCACTTTTTTTATATGAAGGGACAGCATTTTCGGGAAAAAAATTCAGAAAATTATTCTTGAAACGCGGTGATGAAATTCTCGGCCGGCCAAAGGCGGCACTAACCTTATAGGAGCGACGCCACTGCGATATTGGGTAAGATGTACTGAAGCTTAACTAAACAAAAAATTGGATTTCGGTGAATGCAGTAAAGTGAATTGTCGTGCGAATATATGTACGGAGATAGAAAAAAAAATGTAAATTCATATTTGATTTCATAATACATGTCAAAATTTAGCTAAGATCACTTTGATAAGATTTTATATACCGGGTGATACTAGCTATAGCCAGCCAAACAATTGTGGCGCAATGCGTGAACTTCCCTTCTACTCAAGTTACTTGACAAACATGCATTCAAGTCAGAGGCGTAGCTAAGACGGGGAGCAGGGGAGGACAGATGTCCCTGGGCGCCAGACGAGTTAGGGGCGCCAAAATGTGCTTTGATATTATTTTATTCAAGAAACTAATGGGTTCGAGGGTTGAGAAAAGAATGGGAGGCCCTTTAAAATGAATCTTGACCCCTTTGCGCCAAACACTCTATCTGATTCAAGTAACACTTTATAGGATGCCCAATTAGGGCTACCCTTTACCCACGTGCACCACATCCCTTGAACTATATTCATATTCTAATTTCCCACCCCACCTCCCCTTTTTACACCACATATGTATTACACCAACTATTTCTGTAAAAACAAAAAGAAAATGTTTCGCACCAAACGCACTTGCGATATTTTTAAGAATCGTATTTAGCGCAGTTATCGGGAATTTTATTTAGTAAAATCAGCGCCTATCTGGTGGCGTTAGGGACATAGTTACATAAAGGATATTGACTTTTATGTAGTGAGTGAATGACATGCAAAAAAATAACCAAAAAGTTCTTTATTATACGCTACAAAAATGTGTAGCTCACAAGATCCTTCTCGCTTTTCTTCTTAAATATCTCTTTCTATGTCAAATAAAATCATTTTAATAAAAAATAAAAACATCTTTTTTTCCTTCTTCTTCTCCGTCCATTGAAATAAACTTTTTTCAACTGCATACGTCACTTTCCCCAGGATCCGAGGTGAAGGCCAGTCAGGACTCAAGCAGGTCCGTCACGACACCGAGGGGACCAAGAACTATCATGGGTCCAGCCACATCGACACCGGCATCGGCGGTGTACACGACCATAGCGACTACATCAGGTTATTGGGGATGGGTGAGGTAAACTTGGCGTCGGAGATACTTACTTAGACACTCATTTTTTACACATGAAACAAATAGACAACCAAAGGTTTTTAAAAAATAGTAATAAGAGAGAGGGACTGCAATCAGGTTAGAACTTTTTACTATCAGTGCTATCGTGTCCTGCACTAACACACCAAACAGGGTGAATTCGGAAAACAAGTTGATCCAGGCGTATGTACCTTGACACCACATGACATGAATGTCATGTTCTCTTTCACGTTTGAAATCTTTCTCCGCGTTACGACCCACCGCAGCGGACTTACTTTTCCTCTTTTCTGTCCCCTTTTGCCTGTTTTTAATACCTCACCTATATTCAGTTCTGTCACATCTCGCTTGCTGTCCTCTTGTTAACTACATTTCTTCTAATTGTTATTTTTTAAATTTAAATCGGTTTTAACTGTTGTTTGTTGGCCGATGAAGGCTTCTTGCCGACACGTTCGTTGTTTTGTTGCGTTCTTTTTTTTTCAGGTGTTCTCATACTTCGTTTCGCTCATTTACTTTAAAAAATTAGAATGAAAAACTGTTGTTTTTTTAGCTCCAGACTCTGCTAAGGTTGCAGAAACCTCTGCTACCGGGCAGATTAGGGGCGTCTTAAATCAACTCTTAACTGTAAGATGGTGTGATGCGTGATGTATCTGCATGTGTGTCTCCAGGTCCAGTATGTCATGAACGGAGTGGACTTCCGAACGCGTCACAACGACTACCGTCTGGTCCGCCCGTCCACCACCAGTAGAGATTTCAAGGAGGTGGAAGACATCCAGTTCCCTGCTGTGCCACCGGAAGTCAGCAGTAAGGCCACGCCAGAGGTTAGTATTTGGGATTTATACATTTACAATAGGATCGATAGAAATATATAGAGAGACAAAACCAGGCAAAACTAGGCAGAATATAAAAAATGGGTCATACTAGTCAAAATTAGACAGAATAGATCGAACCGAACACAACAGACGAGTCTAGTCACAATAGGAAAAAATAGACAGAATATACACAATGGGGTATACTAGACAAAATTAGGCAGAATAGATCAAACCGGACACCACAGACAAATCTAATCACAATAGAAACAACTAGAGACAAGAGTCAAAATAAAATCCAGAAGATAAAACTCGACAGAATAGATTAAAGTAGACACAATAGTGATCATCCGACACAGTAGACAATGTAAATTTGCATCGATTTCCTCCCATCCCATTTGTTAACACACACGTACTCTAAATTACCTGCACACAGGAACAAATTGAGGAGATGAAGATTTGGTTCGAAGCCTTCAAAACACAGAACACGTCCTTGAGGAACTACACCGAGTACTTCAAGCCGGTCATCTCCTACATGGAAGGAATGTGGACCACAGGTGATAGCATCGTGTGATATCGACTATCTATTTTGTAACAAATTAAACTTTAACTTTGATTTAGTTGCTAAATTACCAACCAGTAGAACGAAATGACGATTAATTAAAGCTATTTCAAAAAGCTGTAAAAATCAAGTTGTTTTAATAATGGCCATGGCTCTCATATGTTTGTTGAATTGGTTTTCTTAAAAATATTGATTACTAGTCAACATACCCAGCGTTTCTCGGAATTGCATTCAGAAAAAAACCCACCAAAAATACCTTCTCCAGATATACCAACTAAAAGTAAAGTTAATGTCCCTCTAAAAAAACGTCACTAAGGACCTAATCAAAATGTTTGAAGTCTCCTATAAAAAATTAATATTTATAACTTTTGTAAATACTTTTTGGGCCCAACTCATTTCACTTAATATTCAAGCTTGGCCTTGTCAAAACCGTGATTTAAAGAATAATCTAGCTGAGCCTGGTCAAAAACTACGACTTAAAGACTAATCTGGCTGAGCCTGGTCAAAACCATGATTTAAAGACGTATCTAACTTTTAAAAAGTGTCCCATTCAAAAATTATTCACGAATGTCAAGGAGATGGTGGCTTATCTTTTAAAATAAAATAGGATCTAAAGGGGACCCACCTGCACGGTGGGATCCCATTACAAGATCGGGTCCAATTCCCAAAGAGATTCACTCAAAGGTGAGATTCTGTTCCCCTAGGGGATCCCACTCCATGGGGTACACTAAAGTTATCCCTAAGATAAGGGGGCTAACTTTGGATATTACCATTTTTCATTTGCGCTAAAAGAGTGATCCCGGTTGGGTGCTATTTTAGTTATGCCTAACACAGGGGGCTTTACAAAAATTATTCAGATAATGAATTTAAGATTTGTTTAACTGAAGGAGAATTTGTCTTCTAAATCATCGCACTTTCTTGAAACCTCTAAATTGGCCCAGAACTTTTAAATCCACTGATATTTCAATGTGAACTATGAAGTGTATATTTCTAATGAGCGTTCATTTATATTATATGGATCAACTCTCGTAGAAAGCCCATTTAATTAACTAAACCGACTGTTATTTGTTTAAGGAAACATGAAAATTCGGCCCCAGCCCTGCAGTAGTACATGTTATGAGTTCAGTACCAACCAGTATTTCAATCTGGATAATCACCTGTATGTTCGCTAAGTGTCGTCTAGCTCCATCCACCCTTCCTTTCACCCAGCCACCCATCGATACAACAGCTATGTTTGGAATTATATTAATAAAGTTCAAATGAGCAGAAGAAAAAACTAATTGAGGTCCCCCATCCGCAAACGGATTATTTTGTAAAACTCAAAGCTCCCAGTATTTCATTCTGGGCCCTGGGCCCTGCAATCCCCCTTGCCGCAAAGGGCATCCGACCATTACTAAGGGCCGCAAAGTTGTGATGAAAAATTAATCTTACCATTTCAGCAAGGGGTGGCTTAAAACCGAATATTGAAGGCAAAAGCTTCCAGCGGCTAATTGGTCCATTTCCCGTCAACCTATCGAGTCGAAACTCGGCACATAGACTCGTTGCCGATGACACCACATTCTATCAAATTTTAAGTCCAACCCAAAATCCCCAAAAGAGTTTTTCCTGTTTTTCAAGAGGAAGATGAAGGATGATGACACTGATTTCACGAAATAAAATTCGCTATAACTTCAATAGCTGCACTAAAAAAAAATATTGCTAGTTTTTGGTGCGAAATATTTTCTTTTGGTTTTCTGATATAGTTGGTGAAATAAATATGTTGTGTAAAAGCGGATGAGAAATTAGAATATTAATATGAATTTGAAAAAAAATTATTGTAAAATGCTTGAACAGGATTTATAGACGAAAATCTTTGTTTTTAGGGTTTGCTTAATGTGTGTCCTTATACAGGGCTTTGTTTCTCATTTCACAGATGACGACTCCATCATCTCAGAGTCTTTTCGCAGTGACAGGCACCACTTGGACGCCATCAGCTGGGACAACCTGCTAGGCAAGGTGAGGGACACATTTTAATGTACTATTCCATCTTCGTGACGTCGTCGTGTTGTGTGACGTATGCCATCTTCCAGGGTCACGTGTTCATGCGTCTTTTCGGTAACCAGTCCATCGTGTTTCTGTATTAAACTGTATTTTTCACAGCTGAGTTAAATTAAATAAATATATATGTGTAATTAATAACAATAGAGACCTTAAAAACAGCCATTGGTTGTTCGTCAGAATATTAGCTAATTTATAAGTATGCCTCACTTTATTTTTTTTTATTGGAAAAAAGGACAAAGGCAATTTGTGTAGCTATACTGACTTAGGCTTTAATTAAAAGACTAAATAAAATTTCAATACCTTCCGGGTAGTGACTTCATCAGTTCAAGAAAGAAACCAAATTTTACCGTCTGTGTGTATATATATATATATATATAAGTATATAAATATATCACATGAGTGTGTTGTATTTATTTATACGTACATATTTTTAAAAGATGTATTGGATCAAACCAGTTTCATTTCTAAATTACGCTTAGCTTTTTGTAAGATGCAATTATTTTAAAGATGCGCCATCTGCCACACATGTAAAATTCACTGCACAGACAATGTTAAACACAAACATAGAAACTTGTCGCCCAAATTAAATACTATAATACCTATGGATATCAAAATGTACTCTGTTGTTCGTTTACTCTCAGGCCCGCTACATGTCGTACACGGGAGCAAAAGACAACTTTGAGAACGTCGGGTTCTTGCCCCGTAGGCTGATGTACGTGGACAATTGCACTGGGGAGCCTGTCTACGGACAGTGGAACTACAGAATCGTTTGCTACCCGATTGATTTCGATATACCTCTCAAATATTTGAAACAGGTTTGTAGAGAAAAAGTCCAAGAATGGTGCGTTTATTTTAATATTTAACAGAAGACATTGTTTGTGGAACAGAAGAAATAGGGTGTGGAACAGAAGAAATAGGTTGTGGAACAGGAGAAATAGGTTGTGGAACAGGAGAAATAGGTTGTGGAACAGAAGAAATAGGTTGTGGAAAAGAAGAAATAGGTTGTGGAACAGAAGAAATAGGTTGTGGAACAGAAGAAATAGTTTGTTGAACAGAAGAAATAGGTTGTGGAACAGAAGAAATAGATTGTGGAACAGAAGAAATAGGTTGTTGAACAGAAGAAATAGGTTGTGGAACATAAGAAATAGTTTGTGGAACAAAAGAAATAGATTGTGGAACAGAAGAAATAGATTGTGGAACAGAAGAAATATATTGTGGAACATAAGAAAAAGTTTGTTAAACAGAAGATGTAAAAGTGGGGAGGGGGGCCACTTGACGCGCTCCGGGATGGGGGTGGAGATGTTTTGCAATTAGTCTCCTGAGATAATTTTATGACCCCCCATATGTCCAGCTGACTTAGTTCATAGTTGAGATATTTTTAATGACCATAAAATATGTCATAACCTATTTTGTATGCGTCAACAGAGAGAGGATTTCTTGTGGAGGTACCCTAGAAATTTAAGCAAAGAGGAAGTCCTTCTCACCCGGGCAGCAAGGTTTACACTCAACGATAAAGACAGCGATCAGATGTACTTTCTTTTTTTCCTCAATATTTAAAGTTCTTAGCACATATCAATTTTCATATCCATTTTCATATCAATTTTCACATCCATTCTCATATCAATTTTCAACGTATTATTTCAATTTATCATACCAATTTTCAAAATATTTTATTGAATTGCTATATCAATCTTCAACTTGTTTATCAATCAATATGATCAATGTTGAACTTATTATACTAATCTATCAATCAATTTTCAACTTACATATCGATTTATCATAACAATTTATTGTACCGGTACCAATTTTTAACTTACGGTATCAGTCTATCATATTAGTATTCAACTTTTTATGTCATATCAAATCAAAGTATAAAGTAACTTTATTATGTATGTAAGTTTAAATCACAATAAATATTTATATATATATATACAATATATATATATATATATATAAGTTTGACAATTTGCAAGTTTGTCTTTTAAATTTAGTTTCACGGAGACCACGCTACTGGACAAGTTATTTCAGAATATACCTGGGCTTGACAATATCCCTGACCCGAATTTGATGGAAGCCTGGAACGCCCCTCTGGGAAATCCCCTGGATGCCAACCAAACCCTTAAACAAGGCTTCTACCATCACAGCTATCTGATGGCTGAGCCTGGGGCCATGGGTGCTACGGTAGGGTGAATCAATTTTTTTTAACTGTAATGACTTATGAAAAAAGTTGGATAGGCCGTAAGACTGTGAATCAATGCGGGAAAGTCAGTCTCAATTTATTTTTAATGTACCTTTTTTACAACTTTAGGTATTACTTTAAAATAAAAAATCTTTCTCAATCAAGTCGTCACCATCTTAAATCCTGCACCACAGCCATCATCATCTTAAATCCTGCACCACAGCCATGTGCTTTTGTTAAGGAATATACGACTCGGCTACTGTTACGAAATGGCTGTCAGCTTCATATGGTCTCTAACCCGTAATACTCTCCAGAAGTGATAATAATAATAATAAGAGGTCTTATATAGCGCGGTACCCCAGCATAGGACTGGGCTCACCACGCTGTACATAAAATTTGTATCAAAAGAGACATTAAAATAAAATACATTTATGAAATAAAGAACAGCAATGTATATTCACCCACCCCACCACATAACTTTTACAAGGCAAACCATGGATGGCAGCCAGCAAGATCATTTATCGGTCAGAGGAGGGGAATCAATCAGGGTAGTATAATTTTTAAAAGATATGTTTTTAGTGCAATGTTCAGACTCTATGCAAACAGCCCTGTATCTAACACGCATTAAGCTGTTAATGTCTTGCAAAAGTGATTGTAAGAAATCAGCTGGTCGGAGAGAATCCTGGATTCCTGGTGATTCTCAAACCCGAAGCTTCCATTCTATCGTCGAAAGTACCAAACAACACTAAGAAATTAAAGTATGGCTTAGTCTGTCATAAATCTGACTAGATCGATCTGCATACTTGGTAAGAGAACAGCTTTGGTCGGCTGACTAATTTAATCACCTGAAAGAGCTACGAGCAAACGTAAAAACCAGCATTCGCTTAATTTTTTTGTCCTCCGCCCTTTAATATTTCTAGACAAATTCCTTGCGTCCTTAGCTCGTGTAGATCATCGGCCACGCGTGCAGCATTTATAAAGTTAAAACTTTTACCCCCTCTACCCCCTTTGTTCCCTACAGCTAATGATCCCACCTACCCTCTCTCGTCTCCTTTCCCCGTTTCCCTTCTGTCTCTCTTCCCCTCTCTCTCCGTCTCTTCTGCCATCTCTCTTCTTTCATCTCCCCTCTTCCGTATCCACATTCCTGACATGTGTTAGTTTAACTATATATAAACTTATATTTATATAAAAAAGATGTTTCTTTTCAGCTGAGCTACAGAGGCTGGTCCGACCAATACCTGTATGTGGCCTTGAACACCCAGCCGCGGATTGTGAAGGTCAGCATGAAGGACTGCAAGAACGGTGCATGTCAGGAGTACAGTGCCAGGGTCTCGTGGAGTGTACCCCTGGAGATGATCTACCTGACACCACTTCTTTCGTGGAACCCTTACGACATTGAACTCAATGACGTAAGTACATCCCGTGACTTATGAACGAGTGAACTTGATGATGTAAGTAAAAGTCGTGACTTGAAAATATTGAACTCAATGATGCAAGTACATCACGTGACTTGACAATATTGATCTCAATGGTGTAAGTACATCACGTGACTTGCGAATATTGATCTCAATGGTTTCATTAAATCAAGTGACTTGCGAATATTGATCTCAATGGTGTAATTAAATCTTGTGACTTCACAACATCCCACTTACACAAACAGAAGCTACACAATCCCCTTTTGAACGGAGAAATAGTCTGTTCCTTTACGTCACGAATTGTTCAGGTCTTCAGATTGAATTGTCCAGTTCGTTGTTTTGGGATGAACAACAAATGGTTTGTTGTTTTTTTTTATGCGTTACAATGTTGAGTATATTCTAATAATTCCTTTTTTAAAAGTTTTTATCAAATGGAAACATATATTTCTTGTCAATGTATCGAGCCTTCTCGTTTTTTCATTATCCCAACACCAATTTCCCCCCCCCCCCCACATTTCATCAACCTAATATAAGAAAAACAGCCCCGGCCCTGATTTTTATGCTTATCATAATCTACTTGAAATGAATAATTCATATATTTGAATAGGATTAATTGGTAAACTATTAAAGCCCTAAATATTTCATCGGCACCATTGTTCCGAAAATTTGCTCTTTCGGCATGAAGCGCTAAGACCCTATATCTACATGAGCCGATCCCATTTGAAACGGTGGATTTCCATTTTAATACAACGCATGTAAAAGTCGAAGTGGTGATTGATCCCATGCCATGGTGTGTGGAACGAAATCCACCTGAAAGGAACGATGGAGCCTTGTTGCACAAACGAAATAGAGTATTTTTTTTTTTAAAAGTGGTTTTAAAAAAGTGTGTTTGTCTATTAACCTCCTCCCGCGTTTAATCCCCAGAACGACACGAGAACGACAAGTGGAGGGAGAGACGGGGAGACCGATGGCACGGCCTACCTGGGGATAGACCCCAGAAATTATTACATGACTCCGTACAGTTTTTTCAGCGGGCCGCCCCTGGAACCGGATGATGCCGACACCCCGAGGCAGAAGGTCAAGGTTGTCAACCGTAAGGTAAGGGGAATGAGTAAGAAGGGAATATTTTTGCCCATATATTATTATCTCTCCTCTCATGTCTCAACTACTTCCACACGGGCTCAAATGCGGCATAAGGCTAATACAGTGGTTCTTAACTTGGGTTCGATCGAACCTCAGGGGTTCGGTGAGTCAGACTCAGGGGTTCGGCGGAGGTCCAAAAAAAAAAAAAGAAAAAAAAATCATATTTTATTTCTTTCTATTAAAACGGATTCGGGGAAAGCGCATTTGAAACTGGTGGGGTTTGGTACCTCCAAAGGCTAATAAAGTGGTTCTTAACTTGGGTTCGATCGAACCTCAGGGGTTCGGGGAGTCAGACTCAGGGGTTCGGCGGAGGTCCAAAAAAAAAAAAAGAAAAAAAAATCATATTTTATTTCTTTCTATTAAGACGGATTCGGTGAATGCGCATTTGAAACTGGTGGGGTTTGGTACCTCCAAAAAGGTTAAGAACCACTGTGCTAATAGATCGGCTGCTGCAGAACACAAGTGACAAGCCAGAAAAGCCCGAGTCGACTCTGTACCTGAAGTTTTCCCACCCATCCCCTGCACCTGCTGCATGAGATTTCTATCCAGACTCGGCCAGATCAACCGTCTGCGCACCCACTGACAGATTCAGCCTGATCAACCGTCTGCGAACCCACTTACAGATTCGGCCTGATCAACCATCTGCGTACCCACTGACAGATTCGGCCTGATCAACCATTTGCGCAACCACTGCAAGAATCGGACTGAGCAGCCACCTGCGCACTCACTGCCAGAATGGGCCTGATCAACCATCTGCGCACCAACTGACAGAATCAGCATGATCAACCAGGTTTAGGTTGTTGCTTTCTACATTAAAGATTTCTAATGTTTGCTTTTAATAATTCTCAATGTTTAAACTTGCCACTAGTCTTAAAACTGTCTACTCAAAACAATGTTAAAATAGTTGTTAGTCTTTTTTACATTTGTCTACTATCACAATGTTAAAATGGCCATTAATCTTGCACCACTCTACTCTAACAATGTTAAAACTTTCGTTAAACATTCTCTCGTCACTCTATCACAAACAGGGCGAAATAAAGGAAGTTACAGCCAGTGGCACCCGCTTCTTCTTACCGCCCATTGGAAATCTTGGATACATCCGACTGAGATATCCATTCGGGGTGATCCACGGAGAGGGAAGTGCCGTTTGGAAGGAGCTCAATGCTCTAAAGGACTACACTGACCCCAAATAGGAATGAGGACAAGGTCAATCTTAAATCATTCCGTACAGTTGACCTATTCGTGGCCAGCCCCTTCTGCTATAGAGGATGTGTGGCTGCCATATGATATGATTGAATGAATGGTTAACACGTTATTTTGACAAACCTATTTTTGTTTTATCATAAAGATTCTTGATTAAGCACAAATGTATTTTTTCCAAAATATCTGTAAACCTGAAATTAGTGGGTTAACAGATAATCATTATAATTTGTTTGTTTTTTTGTCCCCGTATTTATTTGAAAGTCTTTAACTCAGTTTCTATGACTACACGATAATACTACTCTGTGTCAAATCACCCTTATTCAAAGGGGACCACTTGTCTTTTCTTAAAATTGCAGTTGCCCAGAGTTTGATTGAGTATTTTTTACAGTATTACTCCCCCTGGAACCAAAGTTATAGCTCTAGATAAGGAGTGGGGAAAAAACGATGTGTGCAGCGAGCCTCATGGAAAAACGTCAGAGTAATCATTGAAGAATGAATTCGGCAAATCCCACCTCCCAAGTTCAGTTCGATGAGAAGCATTTTCATAATGTTAAAATGTGTGGTTATTATTTTAATTAAATCTTGACCATTTCAAACTTCGATGATTCATTTTACCCGTGTTTTACTAGATCAAAATATGATTCCATTGGGGCGTTGAACGTTTCAGAAAAATTGGGGAGTGGGGGGTGGGGGCAGTAGGGGGCCCACGGGCCAATGGTTGCACGCCCCTGATTTAATCTATGTTTTTATTAGTAAGGAAACCACTTTAAACGAATATATTTATGCGTGATATTTCTTATTGTTATTAGATATATTGAGGATGTTAGGCAGAATTGGTAGGAGACATGTCTGCTACTGTTGTGTGGTGTACGTTATTAAAAGCCAATTTAAACAGTTGCCAAATCCGGTCGACCGTTTCAACGATAGCGAGAATATGCGTGTTGTTAATTTATTGTGTATTTTTTAAAATGTATTGCTTCTAATTTTTTTTTTTTTAAATAGCGCCCAACACCTCAATGTTGACTTTAAATTTATTTAAACCCGATAAAAGATTGATGAGTTGAATTTGATGATGTAGTCCCTCAAGCGTTTAAAACTAACGCCCATTTAAAGTGTCAAATTTTCCACATTTGAAGTAAAGTTAAAATTGTTTCGAGATTATGTCTCACTCTTTAAAAAAAAAAAAAATTAAAAAAAAAATAATAATTTTAAAAATCTGGAAATGGCATCTAGTAAGCTGTGCAGCATTCAAGAAAAGACCAGATTTAATCACTTGGTCTTTCTCTGGAGCTTTGAGACACTAGGAGCGTTAACTAAGAGAGAAACGCCTTTCTGCAGCAATGGGTTGTACACAGTGGCGTAGCGAAGGTGTTTGGCGCCCGGGGACATCTCCACCCCCCTGCCCCCACCACGCTACGCCTCTGGTTGTACAGTCTGGGTGTAGAGACTTTTAACTTAATGAAGATTCGGTGCGCTTGAAATAAACTGGTTTGTACGAGAATAGTTATAAACTAGATGAATAAATTCTACCATGTGGAAAAACGAGCTTTAAAAAATGTAAGTCTTGTAAATCTGTGGGGCTGGATTCTTGTCAATAAAATGCTTGTGTCATAATAAAAAATTTAAAAAAAAAAAAAGAAAAGAAACATTTGAAACTGAACATTTTTGTTTCAATGTTTTGCTTAATTTCTGGGATATTATGTCACTATCTGAAACAGTATGTCCCTTTCTATCATATTATATCACTATCTGAAACAGTATGTCCCTTTCTATCATATTATGTCACTATCTGAAACAGTATGTCCCTTTCTGTCATATTATGTTATTATGTCACTACTTGAAACATTTTGTCCCATTCTGCCATATTATGTCAGTATCTGAAACAGTATGTCCCTTTCTGTCATATTATGTCACTATCTGAAACAGTGTGTCCCTTTCTGTCATTATATGTCACTATCTGAAACATTTTGTCCCGTTCTGCCATATTATGTCACTATCTGAAACAGTATGTCCCTTTCTGTCATATTATGTCACTATCTGAAACATTATGTCTCTTTCTGCCATATAATGTATCTTTCTGTCAATTGTGTCCCCTTCTGTCATATAATCTCTCAATGTTATGTTCCTTTTTTTGTCACATTATAGCCCTTATTCTTTAATGAAAGAACCGTACAAACAGCTTCTGAAGGACAATTGGAAGTGTCTTTTTACGTTCTTGTTTTTAAGGACATTCTAGTAGTGATATCACTTTCCTTGAACTCTGGAGACAGAAGAAATGCCTTATTGGACGATGAGAGCTGTGTAAGTCACACGCAGGGGAAGATAAAGTCTGCGCTGTTGGAAATACGATATAGTTTAACAATGAAAAGAAAACAGATTCGACGGGAAATAGAATTTTGCTTGAAGTGCCAAATAAAAAGGAAGGTGGATAGACGACGTTGGGCTCCGACGCTTGGCTAACGCAATAGAGGAGTGTGGAGGTCCTCAAAACACGAAAGACGTTGGGTTAGGTTGTGACTTAAAGAAGTTGAGAACCTTGGCCTTGAAAAAGGAGGAATCGCTACAGGTAGAGACCAAAAAAAAAAAAAAAAAAAAAACATGTAAAAGCTGAGGGCGTCATCAAATTGTTTGAAGTTACTCAAAGTAGTGAAGGACAAATTAGGGTGTCTTCGTATTGTTGAAGTTACTTAAAGTGGTGATGGACAGCTGAGGATGTCTTCATATTGTTGAAGTTACTTAAAGTGTTGAAGGACAGCTGAGGGTGTCTTCATATTTTTGAAGTTACTTAAAGTGGTGCAGGACAGCTGAGGGTGTCTTCATATTATTGAAGTTACTTAAAGTGGTGAAGGACAGCTGAGGATGTCTTCATATTGTTGAAGTTACTTAAAGTGGTGAAGGACAGCTGAGGGTGTCTTCATATTATTGAAGTTACTCAGAGTAGTGAAGGACAGATGAGGATGTCTTCATATTATTGAAGTTACTCAGAGTAGTGAAGGACAGCTGACGGTGTATTCAAATTGTTGAAGTTACTTAAAGTGGTGAAAGACAGCTGAGGGTGTCTTCAAATTATTGAAGTTACTCAAAGTAGTGAAGGAAAGCTGAGGGTGTCTTCAAATTATTGAAGTTACTCAAAGTGGTGAAAGACAGCTGAGGGTGTCTTCAAATTATTGAAGTTACTCAAAGTAGTGAAGGACAGCTGAGGATGTCTTCAGATTATTGAAGAAGTGAAGGTTGAGCGACGGAATCGTTTATTTCTCGCCTCTCTTGATTCTTGGAAATGTTGCGTCGACGGATGTTGGGCGAATGAATTTTAAATATAACTTCTCCCTAGTATCACTTCTGCTGTATCCCAGCTCAAACCAGTTAATGTAATGCTGTAGCATACTGCCAAATCTCAGCCCAAAACCAGCTAATGTATTGTAGCAGTATACTACTGTATGCCAGCCTGAAACGATTAATGTAATTAGTTTAGTACTACTGTACGCTAGCCCCAAACCAGTTAATGTAATGTAGTAGCATACTGCTGTATACGCCAGCCCCAGACCAGTTAATGTAATGCAGTAGCGTGCTGCTGTAGGCCAGCCCGAACCAATCAGCGTAATGTAGTAGCGTGCTGCTGTAGGCCAGCCCGAACCAGTCAGCGTAATGTAGTAGCATACTGCTGTACGCCAGCCCCAGACCAGTTAATGTAATGTAGTAGCGTACTGCTGTAGGCCAGCCCGAACCAGTCAGCGTAATGTAGTAGCATACTCCTGTACGCCAGCCCCAGACCAGTTAATGTAATGTAGTAGCGTACTGCTGTAGGCCATCCCGAACAAGTCAGCGTAATGTAGTAGCATACTCCTGTACGCCAGCCCCAGACCAGTTAATGTAATGTAGTAGCGTGCTGCTGTAGGCCAGCCCGAACCAGTCAGCGTAATGTAGTAGCATACTGCTGTACGCCAGCCCCAAACCTGTTAATGTAATGTAGTAGCGTGCTGCTGTAGGCCAGCCCGAACCAGTCAGCGTAATGTAGTAGCATACTGCTGTACGCCAGCCCCAGACCAGTTAATGTAATGTAGTAGCGTACTGCTGTAGGCCAGCCCGAACCAGTCAGCGTAATGTAGTAGCATACTCTTGTAAGCCAGCCCCAGACCAGTTAATGTAATGTAGTAGCGTGCTGCTGTAGGCCAGCCCGAACCAGTCAGCGAAATGTAGTAGCATACTCTTGTACGCCAGCCCCAGACCAGTTAATGTAATGTAGAATGTGCTGCTGTAGGCCAGCCCGAACCAGTCAGCGTAATGTAGTAGCATACTGCTGTACGCCAGCCCCAGACCAGTTAATGTAATGTAGTAGCGTACAGCTGTAGGCCAGCCCGAACCAGTCAGCGTAATGTAGTAGCATACTCTTGTAAGCCAGCCCCAGACCAGTTAATGTAATGTAGTAGCGTGCTGCTGTAGGCCAGCCCGAACCAGTCAGCGAAATGTAGTAGCATACTCTTGTACGCCAGCCCCAGACCAGTTAATGTAATGTAGAATGTGCTGCTGTAGGCCAGCCCGAACCAGTCAGCGTAATGTAGTAGCATACTGCAGTACGCCAGCCCCAAACCTGTTAATGTCATGTAGTAGCGTGCTGCTGTAGGCCAGCCCGAACCAGTCAGCGTAATGGAGTAGCATACTGCTGTACGCCAGCGCCCAGAGTGCCAAAGTATATGATGTCGTAAAATGTCGCGTCACGATCATCCTCGTTGACGCTATTTGCGAAGTGTCAAATACGGTTTGATCCGTGGTTTTCTCTCCTTTCTTTTCTTGGGGTGAACTTTTTTTTTAAAAATCGTCCACGTCATTCATTCCAGGAAAGTTACTTTTGTCGACTTAGCCCCCTAGCCGTTCCGTAACTATTCAGTGCAGCGTACCACAAGGGGATTTTCCCCCCTTCTCATACATTCTGAAGGGATGCTGGTATATCTTCAGCTTCTTAGAATGAATACAGCGTTGAACGTGGAGATATCCCCTCCCCCCCCCCCCCCCCAAAACAAAAAAAAAAAAAAAA